TAAGTTTAGCTTGTTTACGTGCGGTGTGATTTGGTTCAATTCGTTTACGCAGCGACATTTTTTAAGTTTAGCTTGTTTACGTGCGGTGTGATTTGGTTCAATTCGTTTACGCAGCGACATTGTTTAAGTTTAGCTTGTTTACGTGCGGTGTGATTTGGTTCAATTCGTTTACGCAGCGACATTGTTTAAGTTTAGCTTGTTTACGTGCGGTGTGATTTGGTTCAATTCGTTTACGCAGCGACATTTTTTAAGTTTAGCTTGTTTACGTGAGTTGTCTTTTGGTTCAGTTCGTTTACGCGGCGACATTTTTTAAGTTTAGCTTGTTTACGTACGGTGTGATTTGGTTCAATTCGTTTACGCGGCGACATTTTTTAAGTTTAGCTTGTTTACGTGCGGTGTGATTTGGTTCAATTCGTTTACGCGGCGACATTTTTTAAGTTTAGCTTGTTTACGTGAAGTGTCTTTAGGTTCAGTTCGTTTTCGCGTGCCTGGTTTTAAGTTTAGCTTGTTTACGTGAAGTGTATTTAGGTTCAGTTTGTTTACGCGTGCCTGGTTTTAAGTTTAGTTTGTTTACGTGAAGTGTCCTTAGGTTCAGTTCGTTTACGCGGGAATTCTCTATGCGCGGCGTGTTTGTCTGTTTGCGTGCGCCTTTAATTTGTGTTCTTGTATTTTACGACGTTTTTCGCTTTTTGTCATTTGCAGAAGACGGGCGGCAGGAAGAAGTGTGCGGCGTGCAAGATAGTCGTGCACGTCGGCTGTGTGGCGCAGCTAGAGAAGGTAATGCTCAACACTGACTGCACCCATGCCTGCACCTCTGTCTTCTCATGTGTATAACCAGCCTAAACCATAGCCTGTAGCCTAGCCTGCACCTCTGTCTGCACGTTATCCTGCATATGACCAGCCTCAACCATAGTCTATACCCATGCATGCACCTCTGTCTACTCCTGTATATAACCAGCCGAAACCATAGTCTATAGCCTGCACCCTTGTCTGAATCTTTGACTTCACCCATATCCGCACCCTCGCCTGCATCCTTGTCTACATCTTCACACGCATCCTATCGTGTGCACCTGCCTGCACCACTGCTTGCATCTCCGCGCGTCACCTCTGATGCGTTCGTGTCGACCGAAGCAATCGCATCATCTGGCAATCTTCCTTCCTCTTCGCTTCTAATCAGACGATCGCGGAAGGTTTCGCTGTCATAGTCAAAGGCCAAGACAAGAGTTCATTGTTGTGGGTTCTAATTGCGTGGGAGTGTAGCATACTAGTATGGGATACATTGCCCCATGACAAACATTCCCCCACTAGTCTAGCATGTTTAGCAGGGCGTGTCGTAACTCTTACTAAGGATTTGTTGACTTTCATTGCCCATGCGCAATGTAGAGGGGAGTGTTTGTTATATGTAGAATGCAAGCGCAAACGTCGTTGAAGTCTTCTCGCATGCATGGAAATGGAAAGTTTAAATTTTCAGCAACCGCTATTAACGCATTGTCAGTGCCCAAGTAAAAAAAGGTGGATATTGTCGTTTTTTTCTTGAACTATTTTCTTGCGATGCGAGGTGCGATGCGATTACAGTGGGCGCTGCGTGACCTATTCGTAATTAAAATTTGCGAGAGCAGCGCCACCGGCGGCGCGCGGTCGAAATAAAATGGAGACTGCTAATTAGTGCCGCCGACGTGACGTCACGCCTGATGGGATTTTTCCCCCCGCTGTTTTATTTTGCAGATCAGTTTCAAGTGCAAACAGTCATTCAGGGAGGCAGGTGCGAGACACCTTCGTGAGGTAGGTAAGTGTGTGCGTGTGTGTGTGTGTGTGTGTGTGTGTGTGTGTTTGTTTGTTTATTCGCACTGTGTGCATTGCTATAGGTTTATTGCAGCGTGTGTGGCTGCCTCCATGAAGCGTAAGTTTTAATACGACTAGTCAATTGTTTTTTCTATGCCGGTTGATTACGCATTATATCAGGATTATATCAGCAAGGGTGAATAAAAAACTATTTATTTATTTATTTATCTTTATCTTATATTAAAAGAGAATAAAATCACTTAGTTTTTCATTTATAGTATTTATTTTTTCTAGAATTTTTAGTAAAATATTAGATAGACATGTGCTCAACCCGGTGTACCTATTTTACAGGCCAGGCTAAGTGCGTTCAACTTTCTACACTTTCCCCAACAACTGACAGACGTGTTTGATATATAATTATACATATATATATCAAGAATAAATAATAGGAGATTCTCCTAGTAGATAATCTCCTATTTACTCTTGATATATATATATATATATATATATATATCACGGGTTTATCTAGCTTGGGTCGTAGAAATCACTCGGGAAGGGTGGTAACAACTTTATCGAATTAATTTATACTACTTATTAATTCGCAAAAAATACTTTTAAATCTAATTATAAATGACAATGTATAGTTGACGTCGATCGCAGATCAGTAATGATACGTTATCGAATTAGCAATCAATACGTATTAAATTGCATAAAGCCCCTCTATGCCCGAATCGTGGAATTTCATGCATTTTCTGACCACCATACATCGTAGTTTACTAACTGATATCATACGATAAAACCCCTTCCAGAATTTACACTTTCTTCGTTAATCTACCGTACTGCATAAATAAAGAACTTAACTATCTTCTAACAACAGAAAAAATTAACCGTGTATTTCTAGGCACCTGAATTTTATACGAATCGCGAAAACAGAACAAATATGGACGCCGTTGGACGCCGACATCAACGCGTAACACAGCGCATGCGCAACAGGCGTTTTTCGGCTAAACTAGCAATTCTGAACATGGTTGTTCCCTATTGGCTGACGCCGCACACGGACGCGTTTCGCGATATTTTTTTTTCATCGGCATAGAATAGATTAATAATCGTCTCTATATTATTTTAAATATTAACGCTCTCGTTCTCTCGGTCGTCTCCCTTCAAGATGTCGGGTCTCTCCTCGTGGCCTCTCTCGCTTGCGGAGAAGCCACATGCCTTCCTCCTCGAGTGGCGTCCCACACCACGTGACCATCACAGCGCGAAATGTCGAGAAATCTATATAAAGGCAACGATAAACGGCGCATGCGCGCTGCCTCCTCTTCGTCTTCTCCTCCTCCTCCTCCCCCTCCTCTGCCTCCTCTTTCTCCTCCTCCTCCTCCTCTTCCTCCTCCCCCTCTCCCTCCTCATCATCCTCCTCCTTCTCTTCATCCTCCTACTACGCCCTTATACGTGTTGCTGTTGTCGCGAGCGGATGTCCCGCCGGTGGCGCCACCTGCGTCGGCGCTGTCGGTATCGTTGGTAGCTTGCAGCTGACTCGGTGTGCAGCCGAACCAAGTGGGCGCCGTCGCTCTAGGGTAGTTTTGGTCAACGCTAAAGTCGTCGTCGTTGTAGCGGTAGTAGTTATCACCCTGCTCCGCGGAAACGACGAAGAAAAAACAAGTGAACGCCGTGCGCGAAGGAAACGTGAACAAGTGAACGTGTATGAAGGAAACATAAACAAGTGAACGTGCTGAAAGGAAACGGAAACGTGAACAAGTGAACGTGCGTGAAGGGAACGTTAACAAGTGAATGTATACAGGGGCGTGTCCAGGGGGTCCGGACCCACCCCCCTGCTCGCGCAGAAAACGCATCTAAGGGGGTCTAATTTCAAAAACATTTTGGGGGGAGGGCCCCCCAAGAAAACCCCCCCTTCGCGTGCTCGCAAGTTGGGGTTACGGTTAGACCCCCCCTGGTAAAAATCCTGTACACGCCCCTGTATATGAAGGAAACGTGAACAAGTGAACGTGGCCTACACGGTACTGTCTAAGTAGTATAAAGAAGACAAGATGAGCGTAGGTTAGGATTATGTTAGGGTAGGGTAGGGTAGGGAAGGGTAAGTTATGGTCGGTTAGAGTAGGGTAGGGTAGGGTAGGGAAGGGTAAGTTATGGTCGGTTAGAGTAGGGTAGGGTAGGGTAGGGAAGGGTAAGTTATGGTCGGTTAGAGTAGGGTAGGGTAGGGTAGGGAAGGGTAAGTTATGGTCGGTTAGAGTAGGGTAGGGTAGGGTAGGGAAGGGTAAGTTATGGTCGGTTAGAGTAGGGTAGGGTAGGGTAGGGAAGGGTAAGTTATGGTCGGTTAGAGTAGGGTAGCGTAGATTAGCGTGGGGTAGGGCAACGTTAGGATACGGTAAAGCATTGTAGGGTAGGGTATAGTAGAATAGATTAGGGTAGGTTAGAGTAGAGTAGCATATAGTTACGATTGCCGCAAAGATAAGGGTATGGGTAACGTTAGGGTTATAGGATTTGGGGGTTAAGACCGAATTATGAATCTCGGCAAGGTTCGAACCCTACCGCTAAACCCCAAAATCTACCTTAATTAAACCCCCCTAACAGCACTCCTCACTCCCTCGTTACCAGTGCAATGACGTCACGCTAGTGGTGGACCACCACTGCGGAGAGTAGAGGGAGAGAGTGACGTCACGCTAGTGGTGGACCACCACTGCAGAGGGAGAGAGTGACGTCACGCTAGTGGTGGACCACCACTGCGGATAGCGGAGGAAGAGAGTGACGTCACGCCACCTCGTACCTTGAAGAAGTAGGCTCGTCCGTTGATCCACGTCATTGCGGCGTCCAGGTTCGTCAGATCGGAGCCCCACACCGTCGTCGAGCGAGGGTAGCCTGACGATGGTGTGCTCGAGTACCGCCAGTAGGCGCCACCTGTCAGGAAAGACATATATAAATGGCGGATTTTTTATTCGGTCACGAGTAAAATTTCTGGTATCGAGTGTAATTAATAAGAGACCCTGAAAACACCGCCAGAAGGCGCCACTTGTCGAGGAAGACATATATATGGGAAATTTTCTCGTCTGTAACGAGCTCTGAGCGGTATATAATAACATATAAAAATAAAAATATGTATGTAATAAGATAATAATATTACATACAGCTCAGTCGTCACGAGTAAATGTTCGGCATCGAATATAAATAATAAGATACCCTAAAAACACCGCCAGAAGCCGCCACCTGTCGAGAAAGACATACACTTGGGGAATCTTTCTTCAGGAACGAGCTCTGAGCGGTATAATAATAAATAACATACAATAATAAAAACATGTATGCACTAATGTGATATTACATGCTTTCTTAACTCCATTCTCCTCTCTGCGCTCAGTAACCCCCCTCCCCTCCCCTCCCCTCCCCCCACCTAATCGGGACTACCTCACAGCTCCATCGGAACCTACCACGGAAGAAGTACAGTTTGCCGTTCCTGCCCCACACGAAGGCGGCGTCGAGCGCGACGCGTGGAAGGTTGAACTCTGCCGACGTTGAGCGCGGATAGCCGGACGACAGCTGCAGTGCCTTGTTATAGCGCCACACCCGCGTGCCCTGCGAACCGATTCAAGCAGCGTCCGTGCGTGCGTACGTACGTGCGTGTGTGCGTATGTGTGTGCGCGTGTAAATGGAAATGGATGCCGGCTTTGTGCGCATGAAAGCTCACGAGACGCTAATGTAATGAAATCGGCGCGTTGGTTATGCGTAAGCGAGTTATATGATTACTTTTTCTCGCCCTATGAAAGTGACTTCGCGTGAGATAGACACGGCAATCACGTTTCTTTCGACACTTTCGGACAAAGCTTGCACAGCTGCTACCTGCGATAGCATATTTCATTGTAATCTATCGACAAATAGATGGTAAGACGCTGTGGGTGCCCTGTTTACGTTGATTGCATTGACCTATTACTGCTAGAATTGGTCCTTATTGGGCATCATTCGGTATGTAATGTAACACCTTTCACCTATAGTAATATAGGATAGTATAGGATAGTATAATATAGTAGTATACTATTATAAAGTAGATGGTATATGGTATGAAGAGTGTCATAATATAGACTATATTATGACTCCTGATGACATGGCATGGTATGTTATGGTTTCTTTTTCGTGTTCTTGGTCTCTTCCTTCATCCGCGTCCCTCCTCCTCCTCCTCCTCCTCCTCCTCCTCTTCCTCTTCCGTCTCACATATTCCTCTTTCTCTTCCTTAGCATTCTTATCAATATCGTCGTTGAAATTGTGATTATAATCATTATTGTCTCAGTTCATTTCAATTTATTGGAAGTTTCTACTCATCATTACTACTATGACGCGAACGTGCCTAATGACCGTTGTCTGAGTTTGCAATAATATTCTTCTAACGTTTTGTCCGAAAATTAAAAAAAAAACAAGTTTGGATAGTTTTAACACGCCCTGTCCGTTCGTGGGACTGCGGATGTTAGAAATACGAAGCTGAAGCGCGAGAAAGCACTGAGGGTAACTCTTGCTTGGTGACCGATGTAGTTTGTATGCCTCTGCAATCACCGTAATCAGCCGTTCGTAAATGATTCCGCATTGCTTTTGTACGATCTCTCAAAAAGCAAATTCGTGACTGCGTCACCACTGAAGCTAAAGAGCGCGTCCAGACTCTATGAAAAAGTCAGTCATGAGTAGGAGTTGAGTCGCGGTTGATGTATGAGAATCCAGAAGTTATGGGTAATCGAATTCTTGGTCTTCTTCTTTTTCATTTCCTGATGACGTGTGCAGTGACGTTGGTCGCAGCCGCGACGCTGGCGCCATCTGTTAACGCCACATCTTCGCGGATAACCACTAGCCACTCTCGTTCAAGAGGCATGGTTAGACACGACACATAAAAATATGCAAAAAAACACAATTTTAAATTAAAATTTAATATCGATCTTAGAGCGTGCTTTTCAATGATCCTCTGATATCAAAGGCCGGTGTTCTAGGTACTTCTCATCACGTGTAATCCG